TTTCCACAGGGCTCACACCTATGACCCCTACTCTTTAATTGCCTATACATAAATGACATAAAAAACGTTTTATGATCTTAAAATATTCCACGGCATTTCTAACGTAAATCATCACATTTTATTTCCAAATGATATGAACCTTTTTACAATTATTGTATTCGCTCCGTGCGTTACTGCAGCGCCAAATACTTTATGTACTAATGGACTATTTCTCCGTATACTGACAATACAATTTTTAATAGAATTCGTAATTAAAAAGTATATATGTTAGTTTTAATAAAAGTATAGGGATTTGTAAAACAAGTGAATCATTTATTATTACCTATTATTATATATTTTTAACGCTTATACTAAAATAAATGAGTATAATCAATAAAAATCAATAATAAAAAATAGGCAGGCAACAGTATCTACAGGAAAAAACATCAGGAAAATGTATAAGAAGTTGCCTCAGTCCTAAGTCTAAAAGTTGTCTTTAAAGAATTATCCTATTCTGTCAAAACAAAACAAAATTAAATAATAATAGCGTAAAGTTAAAATGTATAAACAGATGGATTGTTATTTATATTTTCATTTTTGTTCAAAAGAAAACATAGAACGAATGATTAAAACTGGTTTCCTATCAATAAGTCACAAAATTGCATTCCAGTCACATACAATAATTAAAGACAGAAATCTAGTTCTTGCGGAACATTTAAGAATAAAGGGATCTTGAAGAACATCGTAAAATTATAATTTATTGTTTATTTAAACCCCTTCAAGTTTCTGATGTCTACTACGACTTACAGTATTACTGTTATTATTACAAAAATAAAGGTAGTTTTTCTTCTTATTGTACAGCTATCCATTTATTTCGTTGATTTAATTTCCACTTTACTACTAAAACTTTTTATAATTTACACTGTTTTTTTGCTTGTATTTTTACAATTTATAACACAGCAACTCCGGTTGCTTATTGTATTGTTTTTACCTATTTTATGGAAAAAATGTAAAATGTATACGTATAGTTGACATGCCAAAATTACAAATATCGCCCTAAAATGCACGAATTATCCGCAGCTAGCGCTAGTATCGCTTTTGCTTCGCCTACTATGACCTCGCACTGAGTGAATATCACTATACGAGGCAAGAGAGAGGTCCGACACGCCCAACATAGGGCGCGGCCATTTTGAACCCTGTGACACAGTTTACAGTTAAAGAATCAGATCGCTCACTCTGCGTCGGCACTTTTGATCTCAATGTTTCAGTTTATACACTGTGCAACTCGGATAATACAATATATGACAACCGCCTATAATAAAACAGCAGTCTTCTGTGTATCCTGAATTTGTATCCCTGGAGTGGATGTTATTTTGGAACTTTCAACTGGTCCGAGTGAGCTAACTGATTCTTTAGCAATAAACTGTGACTTCAAAAATAATGTTCACTGACACTGACAGCAGCAAGCAAAATATCAGGTGCGTTTTAATCATCCGCTTCTGCTTCCGGAATTGTCGGTTTAGTCGTTTTAACCTGTCAGATTAAAACAAGAAAACCGACAATTCCGAAGCAGAAGTGGATGATTAAAACGCACCTATTAAAAATATTGCGCCAAGATGTAGGCAACACGTAATAAGGGTTCAAAATGGCGGAGTTTTCTATCTCCTTTTAAAAGGCACTCAGAAAGCTGCGCATTGCGACCATTCTCCGTATAGTAAAAGAAAATCAAAGTATGTGGTGAATATAGTTTTTCTTAAACATTGACAAATGTCATCAAATAACTTTCAGTCGAAACAGAAATGTAACTATATAGTCATAATTATAGGTTAGGGACTAATCGATAAAATAGAGTGTCGGATATAAAAGACCTAGGAATTATGATCCACTCTTCTTTTTGATCAACACATGTACATCATATTTCTAAAAAAGCAAATAAAATGCTGGATGTTCTAATTAGAACATGCCATGATTTCAAAAAACCCCCTAGTTAGGTACTGGGGAGGGGATGTGAATTACATGTACCATGTCTCGGTGGTGGGAACTGTCGCCTGGCCTATCAAATTCAAAATACTGTTTCACTGCAATTGGGGTTTTTTGTTTTTTTGCTGACAATGAAATAATTTGCTTCTAGACGTCTATAACAATGAAAACAATCCCTATGCAAGCATTTTCTGTCGTCCGGTCTTGCTACTATTGATGTAGGGAAATTTCTAAACTTACATCGAACGACAAAAAAATGCTTGCAAAGGGATTTTTTTATTGTTATGACGTCTGGAAGTAAACTATTTCATTTGCAGTCAAAAACGAAAAACATCATCGATGTGAAACATTATTTTGAATTTGACAGGTTAGATGACAGCTTCCACTACCGAGATATAGTACATGTTGGTCTCCCCCTTCCCATGTACCTAACTACAAAACGCAAGCAAAAAACACGACATGCTGTTTTTTGCAGTCAGATGAGAACTTATAATATCAATAAACTCGAATCAATACAAAATAAATTTATTAAATTTACTAAAAAAAACGATATTACAATCGCGGCAGCAATAACATGGTTGATGTTAATTTCCTTGGCTAACAGAATATACATTGCAGACTCACATAAATGTACAAATTAATAAATAATCTGGCTGACTCTACTATGATCATAAATAATTAGGGCTCGGAATTGTATTCGGTTAATTCGATAATTCGAATATTCGAATACTCAAAATTCGATATTTTTAGATCGAAATTATTCGAATAGTCGAATATTCGAATAGTTGAATATTCGAATACTCAATATTCGAATACTCGATATTCGAATATTCGACTAATTGAACTAGGTATTCGATACTCGAATATTTGACTATTCGAATACTTAAATATCGGAATACTGTAAATGTTCAAATATTCGGATATATATATTTTGAATTAATTTATATACCTAATTTAAATGTTTCTTTTTTATCTATGGCTTAAAATCTTAAAAATAAAGGTAGAAGAAAAATGACTAACAAAATTCTGACTTGGGATTCGGGACTATTACATTACGGCAACAATGTATTTATTTATTTCCTTGTAGTGCTGGCGTTTTATTTGGTAAATGAGGGAAACCCCAACGTTGTTTCACATTCGCACTTTTCACACGCATGTTTATGTTTGTTAAGTTATAACTTACTAGTTATTTTATTCATATTAGTGAGTGTATGTCTGTCAGTCAACGTTTGCCCGATACAGATGTTAAATATGAGTTCAGAACGCAGTAAGATTTGGCTTTACTTCGATAAAAAAGAAAATCGTGTGTAGTGTAAATTATGTACTTACAATGTCATACACCGAAGTAATACCAGTAATTTGTGGAATCAATTAAGAACTAAGCATCATACCAAAACAAACAGGTATGAATTATACGTTAATCAAATAATCAAATACTCGAACATTCGAATATTCGATTAATTGTATACTCGAATATTCGAATACTCGAATATTAGAATACTCGAATATTCGAATACTCGTATAATCGAATAGTCGAGTATTCGAATACTCGAATGTACGAATAGTCGTAGTCGAATACTCGAATATTCGAATAGTCGAATACTCGAATATTCGAATAGTCGAATACTCGAATATTCGAATAGTCGAATACTCGAATATTCGAATACCTAGAAATATTCGAATAGTGAATAATTTTGGTATTCGAATAAAGTTTCAAACGAATATTCGAATACAAAAATCTGAAAAATTCCGAGCCCTATAAATAATATTAGAATACCATCACACCTTGTCAAAAACAAGCAACTATTTTGTTTTGAACAGTGTAGGTAGGTACTGCATACAATGGTACTGCTAATACTTAAATTCACCTCTTCACAGATGTATCAAAAGTTACATTAATTTATCTAACCTCACAATCATGATAATTTTCATATATCATGAATTCTCGAAAATTTAAAAAAAATATTTCTTGTACATAGAAGGAGTTAAATTTTCTTTTTCCTTTTCTATATCCTTAAGATTTTTATCTTTGTAATATTATAATATCTTTATATTTAAATAATATCACAATGTTAGTATCGTATTTTTAAATTTACTTGTATTAAAACTAATGCCCACTTACGGTTATTTTTATATTGTAAATTGTGAGTACTTTTTAGATTTTCACCTCTTCGTATTCCTTATGCATCTTTATTGGGCCCATATGTCAATTGACCATTTTTTCCAAGTAAAAATTAGATTGAGAAATTGTTCCTTCGAATTTTGACTTACTCTATGCGTTTTTTTTTAGGGACTCACCAAAAGTCGATACATAAAACGTCTTTGGATCTTAATTATGACTTCTTAACGATTGATCACTTTTTTAAAGTTAAAATTCGTCCCAGAACTCTTGTTTGTCCATAATTTAAACCTTAAAATGATTTTAAGGGGTCGCTAAAAAAATATGAACATTGGGGGCCCAGTAGTGAGCACTCGACCTTTAATTTGTTTTAAATATTTATAAATCTGAGGGTGGTCAAAAATAGTAAATATATGGACAAACGCTGTGGTATTGCTACTTAATAATAACAAAATACAGTCAACTCTATTGATTGGAAACATCGTCACATAACATTCGAACTATATTGTCTTTAAATTTAATTTCGTGGTAAGTTTAAATATCGATATTTTTTTATTATTCCAACTCACACTTGTCCATTTCTTTGACAAATTAAACTCGTGCGTTGCACGACGCACTAATAATTGTATTTTCAGCGTAAAGACTGACAATTTGCGACATTTCAAAAATATCAATGACAATCGATCATGCGTCTTGAAATTAAAACAAAATAGGTGTATGCTTTTAAATCGATCGTCGTTAATTGAACCAGTTGAAACATGTAATTCCAAAAATGTGAATAAGTATTTATTGGATGATGTTTCCTAAAGGCTACTATGGTTACAATATTAACAATATTAATATTTCTAACATACAGAAGAATAATTTAAAATTTTTTTCAGCGATCATAAGTATCTTGTCAAAAAATGATGGATAAACTTACCTGGCAATTTGTTTTCCTGAGAGCACTTTTGCAGAAGCCATTTTCGTAAGATCACTAAAATGATGAAACTGTTTATATCTCCGACTTATAATGTTTCTTAATCTAAGTTCAAAAGTTATCAATGGTAAATACATTTCGGAAGAAGTCCAGGGATGGACTAAATATTCATTTTACAATTTCATTTTTTAAATATATTATCTACAATAACTGAATAAAATTATTTTCTCTCTGTCCACTTGCCATTATTATAGTAGGTTAAAGGTAGGATAATAAAAAAATTAGCACCTACAGAAGTTTATGATTATCCCAGGTCACAATCTCCAACAAAATTAATTATTAATTGATCACATTTTATAAGAGAACATTGATAAAACTAAATTACATAGATTCATCATACACCGTCAAAACTCTTGGACCCCTCGTAAAACAAAATTTAAAACTTTATCAGTATACATTTTTTTATGGGAATGCAAATGGCCGTTTCTTATCATGGTGTAAAGTCGGATAAAAAAGTTATCGTCTAATTTTAGTACAGAATTTATTAAAATATGTAAATCTCAAAAAATAATTTGTTTTAATTTATCGAAATGTATTCAATTTCGGGTTTTGCTAAGGTAAGCGTTTGTCTATTCACCGATTTTTAGCAACAATTGATATATCTACCTAGTTCATACGTTATCAGAATACCTACTTCGATTATTACAAGAGACTAAAAAAAATGTGAGAAAGACAATTTTATACAACGCATCCACAACATGAAAGCGGCTTTACTTCTAGAATCATAAGAACACATTTCAGAAGAACTTACGATGGCTTGATTTCGGATTTCCAGACTACAATTCGTCGAAGATTTACTGCTGCCAATTTGAGATTGAGAAGACCTTCATGAGTGTCTAGACTTAAGAGTCCCCAACACCACGTGTTCAATTCAAATGCCGGTCTAACTGGTCAGCGCCTGTTTTGCAACCGTCTCTCTTCCTCGAAGTAAATCTGCTCTGAGAAAGTATGCACTGAAAAGTTATTTGTGATACGCGAACATAACGACGTCAACCTCACAAAGTGGCCTATCTCATTTTTCCTAATTTTACAGGGGAGCAATTTAAAGTTTTGTGCTGCATTTGAGTTTGAGATGTGTCCTTCACGGAAGATTCTATTATTACATAACAGTTAGAGCGTAATTTACGCAACTTTGTGAAAAGGAAGATCTATAAAAATAAAATATTTCTACAGCCGTATATCTAAAGCTGCTTTTTCTGAGATACGTCAGTTTGTGAGATTGACGACGATAATATTCATACCATTAACATGTATTGTGCAAAATGTATTTTCGATGAAGACTCTCTTACACATACGTATATGAATAGGATACCTAGGTGCAAATATATATAACGGACCCGGGCCCACAACGGGCCCAGGTTTGTCAGATTTGTACGCTGTCGTATATCTACCGCACCCGTAGTAGACCCGTTCCTTTCCATGGTAGATATACGTTACCGTACAAGTCTGTTGAAACTGGGCCCGTTATAGCTATATGCACCTAAAGGTGCATTGAGATACACGGGCCGGACCCAGGCCGGGCCCAGATTTGTCAGATTTGGACAGTGTCGTATACGCACCGAGCGATGAAAAGCAAACGGGCCTAATTCGATCATATTTGGCCAGGATCGTGATAGGCCCGTTGCTTTCCATCGCACGGTACAAACCAGAGCCCGTTGCCCGGGTCGGGTTCTGGCCAACAACAGGTCCAGGTTTGTCAGATTTGTATGGTACCACGGGCCGGGCCAAATAGGATCAAAGTAGGCCCGTTTGCTTTCCATCGCGCGGTAGATATACGACACCATACAAATTTGACGAACCTGGGTCCGTTGTTGGCCTGGACCAGTCCCGGGCCCACCCCGTTATATCTATTGGCACCTTTAAATAAAAATTCTTACCCGTCTTTTCCCCGCTTTCGCCTCTTCTTCTGTCATGCTGAAAAGGTAATAGATATTAACAAACTAACATTGGGACCAGGCCCCGCTAGTGTAATTAAAAAGCTGTAAGTTTATACGATCCTAATGAAATTCGGTCATAGAAACTAAACCCCAAGAGCTAAATATTTTGACTCCCTCTCCTTACTGCCACACACGATACGAACGGTAATGGCTGAAATGGCCGAAAAATTTAACAAAGTGTCAATTCCGTTTTGCAGAAGGTGTCTGTTTAAGGGACGTTAGCAACTGTATCTCCAAATATTTTGATGGATATATATTTTTTTTTAATCACAAAGACAGTTTAATTTGTATTCTAATAAGGGGTACTCACCTTTTTATAATATATTATTAGCAATATTACCTAAAGTTGCCTCTGGTCAGGTAGATAAGCAAATAACGACGATGACGTGTGAATTCCCCGGCGGTTTGTCGACATCGCGTGTGTGTTTCACACAGGGGCGGTTTCTCCATTGGTTCATTTGTGCAGTGAACACCCAAATACATTTCATAAAATCATATTATTTTAAAATCACATATAAATAACTTAATAATATAAATTCACTTTAATATATTTATTATTTTCGTACGTATTAATCTCTACCTTTTTTGGTGCCCCACTGCGCTCAGGCCGATCGCGTCTATCGGTTCAATGTCTAGAGAACGCGAGAGGCACAGAGGTGTCTGAGAATGAATGTTAAAAAGACAGGTTAAGAGATCCGTGAAACAGCAGTGTGCCTGCTTGAAGCCACACCATTTTTAGCATCATTTTGTGCACCGCACATTGATTACGTCACGACAGTTAACTTCGCTTGGTCCAACGATTAGTTGTGCTTGGTCAAGGTCACTCTGATTGGGAGTCTTTAATTCAACTTTGCCACATTTGGTAGATTTCTGCTTTTTTGGTAGGTTTTCAGCTATTTTGGCTAGTTTTAGCAGACAATTTTCTTTTGGTAGATTTCTATAAATTAATAAAAAAAAATCCAATTACTCAAATAAAACTTCCTATTTAAATAATTTTGTTGCCAAAATGGATTGCTAAAAACGTTAGTTATTTTCAACTAGTAGATTACTTAAAAATAATCGATTCTTTATGATTTATCGATTCTGTTCGATTCTTTACGATTCTTTTCGATTCTTTTCGATTCTTTTCGATTCTTTTCGATTCTTTTCGATTCTTTTCGATTCTTTTCGATTCTTTTCGATTCTTTTCGATTCTTTTCGATTCTTTTCGATTCTTTTCGATTCTTTTCGATTCTTTTCGATTCTTTTCGATTCTTTTCGATTCTTTTCGATTCTTTTCGATTCTTTTCGATTCTTTTCGATTCTTTTCGATTCTTTTCGATTCTTTTCGATTCTTTTCGATTCTTTTCGATTCTTTTCGATTCTTTTCGATTCTTTTCGATTCTTTTCGATTCTTTTCGATTCTTTTCGATTCTTTTCGATTCTTTTCGATTCTTTTCGATTCTTTTCGATTCTTTTCGATTCTTTTCGATTCTTTTCGATTCTTTTCGATTCTTTTCGATTCTTTTCGATTCTTTTCGATTCTTTTCGATTCTTTTCGATTCTTTTCGATTCTTTTCGATTCTTTTCGATTCTTTTCGATTCTTTTCGATTCTTTTCGATTCTTTTCGATTCTTTTCGATTCTTTTCGATTCTTTTCGATTCTTTTCGATTCTTTTCGATTCTTTTCGATTCTTTTCGATTCTTTTCGATTCTTTTTGATTATTTTCGATTCTTTTCGATTCTTTTCGATTCTTTTCGATTCTTTTCGATTCTTTTCGATTCTTTTCGATTCTTTTCGATTCTTTTCGATTCTTTTCGATTCTTTTCGATTCTTTTCGATTCTTTTCGATTCTTTTCGATTCTTTTCGATTCTTTTCGATTCTTTTCGATTCTTTTCGATTCTTTTCGATTCTTTTCGATTCTTTTCGATTCTTTTCGATTCTTTTCGATTCTTTTCGATTCTTTTCGATTCTTTTCGATTCTTTTCGATTCTTTTCGATTCTTCTCGATTCTTTTCGATTCTTTTCGATTCTTTTCGATTCTTTTCGATTCTTTTCGATTCTTTTCGATTCTTTTCGATTCTTTTCGATTCTTTTCGATTCTTTTCGATTCTTTTCGATTCTTTTCGATTCTTTTCGATTCTTTTCGATTCTTTTCGATTCTTTTCGATTCTTTTCGATTCTTTTCGATTCTTTTCGATTCTTTTCGATTCTTTTCGATTCTTTTCGATTCTTTTCGATTCTTTTCGATTCTTTTCGATTCTTTTCGATTCTTTTCGATTCTTTTCGATTCTTTTCGATTCTTTTCGATTCTTTTCGATTCTTTTCGGTTCTTTTCGATTCTTTTCGATTCTTTTCGATTCTTTTCGATTCTTTTCGATTTATCGTTTTTTTCCAATAACCGATTACTTTTATGAATCGACTATTTATTTATCACTAGAGTACAGCAAGTTAGTTAATAGTTGTAGTGTTTGAAAACAGTATAATATTGTAATCGATTAATCGAAATCGAATATAATATCTCTAAAAAATCCAAAAAGTCCGATTAATCTAAAATAAATTTGTTCGGGGTTTGCAGTGCGTATTTAAATTTACTTAATACGATTGCTTTTACTTATAGTGTGGTGTAGTGTTAATAAAGTTTTAAACAGTTCTACCGGGCAAAATTTGAACAAGATCCATTATTTCTATCTTGGCTTTGCAATGCCCAGGGTGGGTATAGTGGCTTTTGTATAGCCACATAATTTAACCAAGATTTGCTTCATTAAAAAAGGAAATGTTTGTGTGAAGTATAGAAAGAATATTTCAGGATTCACTGGTAGCTCTTAGGTTTGTCCTCTCTAATAACTAACCAAAACAATTTAATTATATTAAAACGGACGATGCCAAAGAAGTTTTGATGGATATTGGCTCTTGTACAAAGTTTTACTAATGCTAAAATTATTGGAAAAAATTGAACCCCCATTTTAAATTACCACGAGCCGCCACTGGTTTTACAGGCATCATTCTGGAGCCATATTCTGCAACTATGGCAAAGGAGTGTGGGAACTCTTTCACGATTTGTCCTTGCTGCACATGTCACTCGACTAAAATTATAAGGAATCATGTCAAAGGCGAGAGCAATGTTGCAAGACGCACGATAATAATCGTATTTGTATTTGTATATTCTGTCATTGTGAACCTCCAATATTTTGGATACAAGCCGCCACTGGTTTATTATTGTTACAGGGCGCTTCACGAATAAATCACAATATATTTTTGCAAACATTCATTAACTACAGTTGCGCCACAGAGAAATTATTTCATTGAGTTAATATGTTTTTATACAGGGTGAGCCATCCAGCCAACCACCAAAAAATAATTAGGTTTTGATATTATTAAAAAGACGACCTTGAATTTCTTTTCATTTTAAAATATACAGGGTAATCTAACTGTTTCTATTAGAACACCCTGTAT